CGAGGAAAACTACCGGAAAATTGGAGGCTGGATCACATCACACCAATTCTCAAAGGAGGCCGACGCAGCGAACCTTCAATTTACCGACCGGTGGCACTTCTCTCCATAACCTCAAAAATCATGGAGTTGTAGTGGCATTGGAGCATAACCACACAATCGTCAAAGCTGAATACGAGATTACTCGGAAAATAGATATTCAATATTTAACACGGAGAAATACCTAACGATGGAAAAGGCGCGAACAATCAGTTGAGTGAATTACAGTTGATCGAACGGCATGGCTCGGTCATGCAGGCGTGGTCGCTGCTGAATGTTATCTTATATCTTCTATTCATATCAAATATATTGTTCTTTCTCTAGCCTAGCCCTGTTCTACATCATGTATTGGTATTTGATACGATACAGTGAGTTGGCGTAGTCGATGGTGTGAATTTCACGTAGGATCTTATAGATTAGGCAGTTATATCATGACAAATCTACAAATTTAGGATTAGGTCTATTATTAGGGCAGCACTAATATCATAGTAGACCATAATTCTACAGAGTCCTTGATATGCGATAGTATAAATGACTATTTACTATCCTTAAATTTCTTCTCACCCCAACAGCATGGTTTCAGGAAGGGTTACTCGTGTATTAGCAACCTGCTGACTGCGGTGGACAGATGGACAAGCATCCTTGATCACAAGTAGAAGGTTGGTATCATCTACTTAGATTTTCCAAAAGCTTTTGATAAGGTTAACCATACATGTCTTATCAATAAGCTCAAACGATTGGGTATCAGACCACCTCTAACCGATTGGCTCACTACATACCTGAAAATCGACATTTTAAGGTCAGGGTTAATTTCACTTTATCTGAGGCTATGGAATGTCCTAGTGGGGTCTCCCAGGGCTCAGTACTAGGGCCTCTTCTCTTCTTGATCTACATAAATGATCTTCCTCATCAGGTAACGTCAAACTTATTACTTTTTGCCGACGACGTGAAACTTTGGAAAGAGATACGCAACCGAGACGATATACAGGCACTTCAGGAGGACCTGACTCGACTTCAAAGTTGGGCAGATGACAACGGACTTACCTTTAACACTTCAAAGTGTAAAGTAGTTCATCTGCGACATGTCGCAGACTACAGTTATAACTTAGGTAACTCCTCTCTAGTAGTATCCCAAGTCGAAAAAGATTTAGGAGTCCTGGTGCCCTACGTTTTAAAGTCTTACGCTAACTGTGACAAGAATGCCTTCTGAGCAAACCTTGCACTAGTAACACTGAAGCGCATTTTTGGCCAGTTTGACGGGAGAACTTTCCATATAATCTTCAATAATTTTATCCGTCCCCATTTAGAGTATGGAAACATAGTATTTCCCCACTCATTCCAAAAGGATAAGGACACCCTGGAGCGTATCCAACGGCGAGCCACGAAATCAGTTCGAGGACTCAAATTTAAACCTTACGAAGAGCGCCTCCACTCACTTACCCTTTACCCATTAGAGTATGGACGTCTTAGAGGTGACCTTTTGATGGCTTATAGTATCTTTAACACTTCTGGACATCCTCTCAAACACCTAATAAAGCTTAGTCCCAATACTAACCTAAGGGGTAACACCCAAAAACTGGAAAAACAACATAGCAGAACGGACTGTTAGACACAACTTCTACTCCTTAAGAGTTGTCAAATGCTGAAATTCGCTGCCAAGCGAGCTAGTCCAAGCAACTTCCCAGGAGTCCTTTAAGAGGCAACTTGATATATTCTTAAGGACTAAGGATAGTATCACACTATGATTTACTAATTTCTTTTCCTCTTTTATTGTTAACATACCTAGGTTCCTGCCTGGAGGATTTGGTGATCCCCTGCTACTAGACACGGAAGCCTGTTAAGCGAAAGTTTCTTCTATTCCGTCCACAACCATTTGAACCATATTATTCCCTACGAGGCATCAGAAACCGATAAGGAATCTTACATCAAATATGTTCTGACGTCTCCAGTGCAGTTGTCTCTAAGTGCTTCTAACGGTATTGAAACCTCACTCTCATTCTCTATCCCATGTATTATCTTTAAATCCTAATTAGGTTTGGCTCTTCATTTCGATATGCGAAACTCAAGTTTCATCAAATGAACTTTGAAAACTGGTTTTACGGTATTTCAGTCAACAACACAATAGTTGGTCATTGCTTGAAATTAAACAGCTGCTATATCTCTGTGTACGTGTTTTCAGTTGTGTTTATGGACAAATGATTGCAACTTTTAATTGACTGATTGCCATCAGTTTTCAGGTGGCTATAACTGTTTGCGTTTCGTTAGTAAAAGAAGTAGCTATCATACTGAAGGACAAAAAGTCACAAATAACAACCAGGTAGTCTTTCCGTATCACAATGAACAAGCCTTCTAGTCTTGATTGTTGAAATGTTCAAAGCACTCAAATAGTAGATCGTCAATTCTCTAAAAGACCTTCTACTTTGTACTGATTCAAACACATTACTGCGTTGTTTACGAAGTGGGTTATAAAGGGAAACATACGGGATCGAACAATATTGACGTTACAAATGAGCAAACTAAAGACTGTTGGCATAGTGACACAGGGTTGTACTGATGCCGACATACAGACGCCGTAATTTTGAATATTTTATATTAGTGGAAAAAGATCGAGATGTAAATTTGCACAAAGTTGACTTTACTTCCCTCCCGAAACATACGACAAGTGTAGCATGGCTATAGATGATGTAATTACTAATCATATTTGGTATAGGAAAAACGAAGCAGCTTTACATAATTGAAGGAACATGAATAATATATGATGTTCTATTGGTGTGCTGTGATTTGAGTCTGAGCCATTTATAGGTGGTCTGTGACGCACTGGCGTACTCATTCATGCTAGATTTACAACTCATGAAAAGCATCGTACACCATGTTGAGTTTTAGAAAAACTAATTTTTTTGTTGGTCACTCAAATGAATAAGAGTACCTTCAAGGTTCCAAAAAAGAACTTTAAAGACAGTTTTTACAAAGAAATTTTGATTAAACTTTCTTTCACAACATGATAAACATTGCGGTAAATAAAAAATGGTTATATATATGGTTTGTATTACTGAGCAGCTTGGTTACAGGAAGTAAAGGCATTATCTTGTGTCACTGAGTGACAGAAAGGTAAATGTTAGAATTATGTTAAGAAATGCTATACTTCAAATTAACGCTGTTCCAAACCAACTAGTAGGGCTGTAAAAACTTCATAGTAATGAATCGATTGTGATAAGAGAAGTAGAAACTGAAAGCTTACCTACAACAAAGAAGGTGGCTAAATAGAAATCCTGGGTTACCTTTGAGCTCAATCAGTCTTTAAATTAATACTCAAGGTAAAATTAAGTATTACGATAACTGAAGCTAAATCTGTAAATACGAACTTGCATCTTCAGTGAAATACTGATTACAACGCATATTGTAAACTTGTTCACTACTAAAATATACAACAAGGAACTTACTTAAATTATATTATGCAAATCAGAAATCTGGTTAACGTCTTTTTAGCGAGTTGGTTTTCTACGAGATTCCAGCGCAGGAAGCAATCAGGAAGAAACTTTGGAAGTAAATAGGACACACATTGAGGAAAGCACCCAACTACATCACAAGATAAGCCCTTGCATGAAATCCTCAGGGTCAAAGGAGAAGAAGAAGACCAATGAACACATTACATCGAGAAATGGAGACAGACACGGGAGGAATGAACAACAACTGGATAGAACTAGAAAGGTAATCCTAAGACAAAGTAGGTTAGAGAATAGTGGTCAGTGGCCTATGCTCCATTGGGAGTAACAGGTGTAAGTAATTAAGTAAGTATGCAACTAAGTTAATAAGTAAATAAATCAGAATTCATAGTACTATGTTTGATAACATTGTACGGCAATATTATATTAAATATGAAATATAAATTATTAATCACAAGTTTTGTGATGTGCGCTACTTTTGTCCACATAAGTAGTATATAACGATAGTCAAGAATAGAATGTATTTCAGTAGAAGATCGAGAAGGAAAGAATGGGAACGGAAAGCAATTGATACAAAAATCCAGGAACAATAAAATCTGAGACGATGGACTGATATTTACAAACGAAAACGTCAAGTTTGACACAATGGATTGATATTTTGCAAATGAAATATTTACTGTATTATTCTCGGATTTTAGTGAGATGTTCTGTAATTTCATGTTCAAAGCACATTTGATTATCTCCACTCGTGTTCTTGTTCACTACAGTTTTACATATTGATCTAATGGTTATTAAACATTCAAAATATACCCATATTGTATAAGTTGTATATTTATTCAAAATAAATGGATCATTTTATAACCAAACAAAACTAATGAAGGTCAATCTAACAATGAATATTTTGTTTTGTTTCTTCAATAATAATAATAATAATAATAATAATAATGAGAAGAAGAATATGGTACAAATATATTGAATGTTCCACGACTAAACTAATCCAGCTCAGAGAATAAAACTCCATCAACATTGAATGTAAACTATTTGATGTAAATAATTTATCAACAAACATCAATTGTTTTTAATATTTATTAAATTTTTTTAAAAATTTTTCTATTATGGACAATCATGAGAAGTACAATGATGGTAAATAAATTTTAAAAAATAAATAAATAAATAATATTAAACTATAAATATAATCCCAATAATGATTGAGGATAGATAAGAAGTTATTTAATAAGAAATAAACTATAAAGTTATTTACATTTGGTATCACCAATAATAACAATAATAATAGTAATAGTAATAGTAATAATACTAATACTAATACTAATACTAATAATAATAATAATTATTATTATTGGGTGATATGATATAAATAGTTTACTTTCCACTTTAATTAGAATATAATAATTAAATTGTTAAAGGAGATGAGTATATTTCTTTAAAATCTTATGTTCATAGACATTTCATCATTTGTTTATCAAGATTCTTCATTGGAAATCTAGTAATTCAACATAAAATATGTTCAAATACGTTTGTTTGTTCGTTTCATATTCATTATTGTGGAGTATTCAATGTCGACATCAAGATTTCAGTTCTTTTACTAATACTAATACTACTACTGTTATTAATACTAATACTACTACATCAACAAGTGTTGCTGATAACAAATCGATTCAACTTAAAGGAATTCTTCCAGGTGTTGGTTTGCTTATTATGATATTATTTATTCTTATATTACTTATAAAGTGTTGTAGGCCTGATAAATTAACTAATAGTATGAGTCGAAATAAAATATCATTTTCACATTATGATGAAACTAAAATTTGGTCGACAAATTTAGAAAATGAAACTACTCGAGAGTACGGTGATTTACAAAATGACAATGATGAATATGATTGTAATGAGAATACCATTACAAATAGTTCTACGTATATAATGCAGTCAATTGACGATGATACGTCATCATTGGACTTGGAAACACAAGAGATGAATGAAAACAAGTGGTGTACTATGTCAAACAATGTTACATCATTGACAATGGAGAAAAAGCAAACTTAGAACCAGTGTTTATGTATAAATCATTTCAAATCTAATGCATTTTTAATAACTGACAAACATAAATCAACCGTAACGAAATAAGACAGAGATAGAAATGAAAAATGATTAGATCAAACGACTTAACTGGTTATATATTTCATTTGTTTATACACTCATTGACACTGATATATTTATATATACGAATTTCAATAATTTCTCAAGTTTAACCGGATTTTTCAAAATATAACGTCAGCTAACAAGAATTGATAACTATGAGATATTTCTTCAGAGAAGTCATGAACACTATAATCACTACCTAGTAAATGAGAATATTATGTTTTCTTGAGAACGTTTTAAAAATGAACTCAAATGGCATTGATTATTACACATATATTTTCACTTTAAATAATGTTACATCATAATGTAAATAGTCAGATCATAATTACCCCGACCCATTGTTAACAGAAAGGAGTGAACTGAGAAATAAATAACAACAAAAAGAAACAATAATAAAAAATAAATTAATCATTTGAAAGCGTAAAAGAAATAACTTGATGTTTATATTTTCATGTAATGGCTTTAACAATGATTATTAGTAGTATAATTAGACCGTTGATTTCAGACAGAGTAGTGAAATAACGTGTTTAAGGTTAGTTGCTTATCATTCGTCTAATGTAGTTATTTGAATTTTACTCTTGAATATCGAGTTCATAATAACTAAACAGTGATGTCGATCAACAGCATTTAGCCACATTTAGTGTTATCTACAGAAATAGTTATGAGTTAGTAAGAAGATAACTGGGTGAACTAGTCAACCTGGTAGACAATAACAAGTGGCTGTGTAAGCATAAATAGAAGGAATTAATTAAAGTAATCAAAATTTTGTAAGAAGATATATAATTTAGCAGATGCTCAGGGTAACGAGAAAGGCGTACAGATTTATGATAAACACGAAGATTAGGTATTTTGTGTATATTACTTTGTCTTTTATTTTATAAAAAAGTATCAATCATTAAGGCACATGGTGTGTCTGACGTGATTCAAATAATACCCTTACAATCCGCATTAGCGTTAATTCTCATTTCTCTGTCACCTAGATATGTGTATGCCAGGTTAATTTTGAAGCCTATTTTCTGGAGTTGGATTTACTATCGCTTAGCTGAAAAATTAAGAATAAAGCCTCTTTGCGTTTAATATTTTTTTAAAACATTCAGTATATGTTGTGTCACGATTTTTCTTACTACATTACTATTATATGTATAAAATAGATTAAAAGATACTGATCGTTTAGGATTGTTAATATTAATGACTTACATGCTTACTTACTTACTTACGCCCACTGTCCCTCGTGGAGAAGCATAAGCCTCCCACCAGCACCTTCCAACAAACTTTGGCCTGGGCAAACCTTTACAGTTCTTTCCAGTTGCTATTTATTCTTTTCACGTCTGTTTCCAATTCTAGACGTTATGTGTTATTTGACCTTTCTCTATTCCGTTTCCCTTCAGGATTCCATATTAGGGTTTGACTCCGATATAGGTTGGTGATTTGCGTAATGTATGTCCCATCTGTTTCTATCATCTTTTCCTAATTTTCTCTTCAGCTGGAAGCTGGTTTTTTCTCTCTCGCAGTAGACTGCTGCTGATGTTATCCGGATAACGTATGTTGAGTATCTTGCGTAGACAACTATTTATAAATACTTGAACCTTCTTGATGATGGTTGTGGTAGTTCTCCTCATATCAACTCCATACAGTAGAACTGTCTTGACGTTCGTATTGAGGATTGAGAGTTGATATTGGTTGGTAGACAGTTGTTTTGAGTTTCATATGCTCATCAATTGTAGGAATACGGCCCCTGCTTTCACAATCCTCGCCTTTACGTCTGCATCCGATCCTCCTTATTCACCAATCATGCTGTCCAGGTACGTGGACGAGTCCACCTCTTCCAAAGATTCTCAATCAAGTGTAATTGGGTCGGTATTCTCTGTGTTGTATTTGATTATCTTGATTATTTCTTTGTGTATGTTGAGGTTTACTAGTGTGGAGGCTTCTGCTTTACTAGTTGTCTTCATATGGATTTGTTCGTGTGTATGGGATAGAAGGACCAGGTTATTTGAGAAGTCCAAATCTTCTGATTTATTCCAAGCTGATCATTGTATCCTGCGTTTTCTCCAGACGTAGAGATCTTCATAATGCAGTTGACCACCAGAAGAAAGAAGAAGAGGAAGGGAGAGAATAGGCAGAATTTTCCGACTCTGTTCCTTACTCGGAATGCATCTGTCAACTGTCCCTCACGCACCTGGAGATATGCTCCATGTTAATATACATTCAATAATAGAAAATTTATAATTTCAGCTATTTACCAACTCACTATATTGCATCTATCTTACTTTGCATAGTGTTGTAGCATTGGTTTGTTCTATAATATGGATTGTTTTATTCAAACATCTTTCCATCATCCTCTCACACTGAAATCAAAAATAAAATAGTCAAATAACTTCTAAAACAAATTAAACATTTTACAAAAGTAATGAATATACCTTTGGAAATAACTGTCATAATGCCATAAAGTTAATAGACATTTCCAGAACTTAAACGTTTATAAATTAAACTTTTAGTAACGCCTCGAACACGTAATTAAAAGATCACTTTTATGGGGAAACTTTATGTAAAAGGGATTCTTATATATATTGGATTATAGCTCTAATTGTTATGACCTGATCTATACGACATCATGAAATACGATTGCTTGTTTAGATACGCTGACTTATTCGATCAAACTAATGACGCATGCACCTGTACGAGCAGCCAAGAGTTCTGATTGGTCCTTTGTCCGTCTTACCCTGTCTATTTAGTCCAGAACGTCAATCTCGACCTCCTAGATACGAACCATATATTTCGAAAATACTTGGTCTATATACAAGCAAATCAGACTACATCACACCATAAAGCAGAGAATAACATTTGTACAAGTTCAAGCCAAAACGCGGCTGTGACTGTGAGAGACTGTGACTAATAGATTGAGAATAGTAAATCATATAATGATAGCCATTAGGTCGAATAAAAGCCTATAATGAAAGGAATATGAATGTACATATAATATAGTCATTTCATATTAGTCATAAAATAGGAATATGAGTATAATATTAGTCCGTACTTAATTTCTAACGTTTACCATTCATTTATCATCGTCCGGATATAATACTTATACATACTCATGCTAAAACATATCTTTCTATTTCCCAGTAGTTCGAATCAATCTTTATAGGTTGAACTAGGAAAAGAAGTTAATAATGAAATTCCTAACTTGATTCACTTATCAAATTTAATCCAGTTATAATATCGGTCCTACTTTAACGAATTCCGTTTACATTGAAATATATGAATTCTCAAAGTATGATCGTTGTGCTTTTATGTGTTATGACCCTGGTAATGTCCAGAAATGTTATCCTGATTTTATCTTTACATCACCCCTGTAAAACTGATCTTTAGGTGATTAAAAAACAGTTTACTGAAAACAAATACATTAACCTATTTCGTATAAGCTAACAAAAGAAAAAAACACATAGATTATAAACATAAGTGAAGATTGTTTATATATATGTATCAGTGGGAAAGGTTTCCGTTAAATGATGCCATATGACTTAGTGAATGGACAAGAGTGGCAAATTATAATCCTGACTATGACTTTGAAAGTGTTCCAGGGGTTACCCATGGATTGATATTAAGTGATACCTTGTCTTGTGTTTGTCAGTAGTGTGTAGTAAGTTTTAATAATTATCCGTTTATATTGTTATATTTTTGATTTAGATATTTTCCCGTGTTCAACTTTCTTTTATATATTGCCTCACGGTACTTTGGTAGAACTCATCTCAATTACCGCTTTTAATTATTACCATCCAGCTCAACTTAAGACTCAGTTTATATATTGTACTCAAGCCTACACTTGCACTAATTCTTATAACATAAATGTTTTAGGTCACAGGACATCTCTATGATCTGTAACTATGTGACAACCAACAATAACACTAGAAACTACATCAAACAGAATGAAGATTTTTACAAAAATATTCACTATCAACATAATGATTACAAAGATAATTGTAATAGAACTCATAACGTAGTACTTATACTTAAGGAGGCCAGTTTTACAAATTGGTTGGCTTATTCAAACTATTAACCGTTCATACAACTTTGCAATTTAGTCCATCGGCTTTCATAGTTACCTCACTGGTTCACCAGTTAGTCAGTAAATTATGGATTATATTAAACACATTGATTTACACTTGTATGAGTCCTGTTTGTAAGAAAATGTAAATGATATCTGGCTTATATCTTGTCTTATTGCGAAGTACTCAGAAAACCCCTGTATCACGATATATCAATTGAAATCTTCCAAATTTTTAAACTTATTATTGTAATATGGTATTATTTGCGATTCTGAATTGTAAGTTAGTCGATACTCCATTAAAATAAAATATACAGAAGTTCTACAGTAAGTATTTGGATTTTTAAGTAGAAAATCCATACACTGATTTTGTACAGCAGCTTCACAAATAGCATGTTGAAATCTGTAATCTACTCTCAGACAATGTTTTTTGGCGTCAGTGACAAATTTTGAAACTTATGATAAATTCCTAATGCCTAATAGGAATATTCGCAGTTTACACTAGAATGCTGGGTGTATAGAATTCTCAAACTGTATTAGCTAAACATTATCGACAATAATGACATGTCATTGATTAAATGTCTCTATCCAGTTGAATACTGATTAATTACTATGAAAAATCATTTTCCAGGGTCTGTCATAGTTACAGACATATTAATAGCAACATCTGTTGAGTTGTTATTTCCTATGTTCTCTAATTCACATTTTAGCGAAACGAATTAATCCACTTGTTGTTAAATGTTGATAGTGTTACAGTCGGTGTGTTAAATTGGTAGATAATTAAAACTAAGTGTAAAATCATTTGCATGACAACTGAATAAATGCAACAACAACAACAAAATTTAGTTTACCTGATGTCTGAAAAATAAATAAAATGCACAAGATGATTTAATATATTTTTCAATCTGTTCATCCAATGAAGTTGAGTTTAAATATGTTTGCCATTTGGTAATATATTGTATACACATAGAACAAGCTAAGTAAGAGAGTGAAAGATTTTGATTGATCGGAAATTGGTTTACTGGAATTGTCGTTTGAATGGTAATTAACCGATTCTTCTATGTTCGACATATCCACATCCTGAAACATGTAAATTTGTAAAATAAATAACTGTGAAGAGAGAGACTCTGGGCTTGTTATATGTCAAGTTAAGTAGTAAATATTGAAATAATCATACTCAAAAGTAGAAGATCATTTATTTTATTCATGTTTAGAATGAAAACTGGTTATTTAGCAATCATCATGACATCCTAATGCAGAAAATGACGTTTAACATTTGCGACCAAAATATTTTGATAGAAGTGTTGTGTAATATACACCTGAATTGAACTTCGATTCATTTAGATGTTCAAAACAATTTCATCAATTGTTTTCTCAATCATGACAAGTGGTAGTGAATTGTGCTATTATCATTACCGACTTATACATATCGTCAATCCTTGCATATACTTATCAACTTAACCAGCGTCAACAAATAACGGAATTAAATAAGTCAAATGCCAGAACGAAGTTTTTAATACATACATTTCATACAATGGTTGATCCAGACAAACGATCAGAGAAACAAAGTGAAGAGAAGAGAGCAGAACCTAAATGTTTCTGTACGACAAAATAAAACTATTATCTAGTTCCGAACCCTATGTGGAAATAGATCTTACAAGTACATAGATAAAAGAAAGTTCGCTGATATATTAAACAGCTTTGATTATTTTTGAGATATTTCTCTGATTAATTATTACAAGTAATAACTGACGATTTATATTTGTTTGTAATATGTGTTTCACTGATACTAGTCAAAATCTTTATGTTTATCTAAATATAATATTTTGAAAATTTAATTAATAATATATTTGTTTATTCGAAGAAAAGTGAAATGTATGATTATCAAAGAATCATTACAAACTATTATTTACTACTTTGCATTCATATAACTATTCATAGAAAACCCTACTTATTTTAAAATACAAGACATTTAAGTTTCATAGGGGAAAATCTAATAATGAAGATGCTTGAATGGGTTTCGATTATTAGTTTTTAACGCTTATATATTTCACTGATTGAAATCATGAGTCAATTGAAGCTAGACCACCATGAGAAACCTGGAAGCACTGGACGGCCGTTTCGTCCTAGTGTGGGACTCCTCAGCAGTGCGCATCCACGATCACACCTCTCGGGATTCGAACCCAGGACCTATCAGTCTCGCGCCAGGCGCTTAACCAACTAGACCACTGAGCAGGTATCTAACGGTGTTAATGTCTAACTTCAACTAATGCACGAAGTTGCGCCACCGTAGACCATTGTCTTCAGTGAGTTGATATCTCACAACAGACCCGGTTGAACTCCACTTGTAACGGCTTCTCAATAGAACCCCAGGAGTATCTCTTGAAGTCAGTCACTAGTGAGCAGATGACTATTATCAGAATGGGTTTTGTGGAGATTTTAGAAATTTCACTGGTTGAAATCATGAGTCAATTGAAACTAGACCACCATGGAAAACCTGGAAGAACTGGACGGCCGTTTATTATCTCCATTTCATTGAAATAAATCCGATTCCCAATAAATGACTAAAAAAATTTAGAGTAATGAGGATTGAAATAAGGATAATATAATGCATATTATATATATGTAGTAACTGTTATCAAAAAGGTTTACCTTGACAGTGTAGGATAAGGTGACTCCAACTTGAAAAAATAAGAAGCAAAACAATAATTAATCATTATTCAACTTTAAAATATGCATAATCATACTTATCATAGTGATTATAACATAGATAAAGTATTTCATGATGCTATAAAATAGTTTCTATTATTTTGCATTAAAAATAACTGACATTTATATTAATACGGAATCTTTCTTGTTACATTATTCAATATTATTATACACAATATAGTTTGAAGTTCAGTCTCATTCACTTCTATATCAGTTAATGTATTTTGTTATGTAATAAGTTGTTTATTATTTCTATATACTAATCTGTTTAAAGTTAATTCAAGTGTTTCGTAGGCAGATAAAAACGAAAGGTGTAATTCACTAAAAATATTTTGTTAAAACGTTTTTTAAATAAAAATGTGACGCGTTTTCTACCTGATCCGATCACAGCTTATCTGATCAAATTTCTATGAAGAAAATGTTTAATGAATTTTAAAATGATCACATAACAATCATGTTTCTTTCATTCAAGAATGATGAACAATAAGGGCCAATACATGAATGTATGTTAATGGTATTATAGTGAATGAAAACATATTGGGGGTGGGACAACCAAAAGTACTACATTACAGAATCTCTTAGTAAAACCTGAAAACAATACAGTAATACTTCATTTGCAAAATATTCACCAATTGTCTCAGATTTCACTGTTCTTTAGTTTCGACATCAATCATTCCCTGTTCTCACTCTATTTCCTTCGATCTTCTTAATCTTCTGCCATGAGGCATTCCACTTTTGATGGTGTTATATACTACTTATATCTATCGACATAAGTAGCACACACAGCAGTATCAGGTTCTTTATTAATTGAATTCATGAGTCAATTGAAGCTAGACTACCATAGAATAACTGAAACAAATGGACGGCCGTTTCATTCTAGTATGGAACTCCTCAACAGTGCGCATCCACGATCCCGCCTAGCAAGATTTGAACCCAGGACCTGCCAGTCTCGCGCGTGAACGCTTAACGATTAAACCACTTAGTCAGCATTCAACGGTGTTAATATCTAACCTCAGCCAATCACTTTCATCATTAATGAAATAACCAACTTGATTTTATAAGATCATTATGCAAATGGTTAAAGTTCAAACATATAAAATGTCAGAAAATTCTCAACACAATTCTCAATATATCTTGAATCACTGATTCATAGTATTTCCTGGTTATCATTGTGAAGATGATAGTTACAATAACAATCGAGCAAAAAGAAGAAACTTATGTTGTCATTATGGTTAATTTTGAAGAAAACGTCCGGACTGAACTATGTTGAAACAAAAAGCAAGAGATGAACTTGAAGAAACATCTATATTAATATCACTTAAACTGAGAGATGTTGAATCAACCAAATAACTCCGTAGATCAGCTCACTGTTTGTCAAAAGCATCTTTATAGTAAGATATGGGTCAGAGAAACGACCCGCATATTGGTAAATATTCAAAGATATATTCTTTAAATGATCGAGATTTGATGGTAATCCCATGAACTATTGGAGTTTCATACGGAATTTCGAAGACTGTTTCTGTGAAAACGTTAGATACCGAACTAGGTTAAGCTATTTGATTCAGTATTGGGACGGTGAATTCTAGGCCACTATTGTTCATTGTTGTTTGCTCGTAACAGAAGATGGCTATCGTAAAGCGTTTGGTCATAAGCACATCTGACCCAGATAATTTAAGAATATCGTCTCTTGAGATGCAGAGTAGTGGGCTAACGCTGAATTCTACAAGACAATCGGGAGTATGGATAGAGAATACAGGTGGGCAGTCTGTGCTCCCCCACGGGAGGTTAACAGGCGTAAGTAATTCACTTGTCTATAACAGATTGTAATATCTCACCGTAAACAAATAAATCACTAAGAGGCAAGTATGCCAGATTATTTTGACCTCATAAATCCACTGATATTTAAAACAAACTGAAAATTTTTTTATCAAAAGCTGACAAATACCGGCTTTTGATAACAACTTAAAATTTACGAGTACTTGATAAAAGGTTGCACTGAAACGGCCAGAAAAATTGAATCTTTCTGTTTTTTTTAACATTTTTACAAGATCTTTATTTCTCGTGAGTATGATTCTCATTGCATCTCCTCTCAGTCTATATCATTAATTTAAACACTTCCTCTTTGATTTGTTTACTTAATTAGAACCCACCAATCCATGATACATAAGTCACTCAATGTTTTGTATTTTTGTCTTACAAACGTAAAATGTGTTGATGACTTATTTTCTATTTTCTACTGTGCTGGTGACAAAATGTGCTTTGACCAATTCGAGACAGATGACTTTGAATTTCTCTCCACAAGATATTATCATTAATTGATTGTTAATATTAAAGGTATTATGATTTAACTCCGCCTGAAGTCCCTTTGGGGGCTACTGCGCGTCCCAAGCTCGGATAAAGTAGGAGGGTTGGGTATTGGGTTAGCGTCCCCATCCCGTAGAAAACTAACTCGCTAAAAAACGCTAACCAGAAAAAATTATTCAAACTATTTAAACTCTGCCCTGGGAGTCAAAAGGTCTTTATTTAGAAGAATTATGACGCCTCATGATGAAAGCCGAATTCCTTCGGAAGTTACGAGGCCGATGCCCCTTCTGACAACCAGAGCGACCATTTATTTAGGTACATGGATGTTCGTACAATGTGGGACACCGGGAGAGCCTTCCAAATTGCTGCAGAAATGATAAGATATAACCTAGAGGTACTTGGGATCAGTGAAACACAATGGAAACAAGTTGGACGACAACGACAAACTACAGGAGAGCTCCTGTTATACTCCGACCATGAAGAAGAAAATGCACCACATACACAAGGAGTTGCATTGATGCTGTCCAAACAAGCACACAATGTACTTATGGGATGGGAATCTCATGAACCAAGGATCATCGAAGCCTCCTTCAAAACAAAGAAAGAGGGAATTTCAATGAACATCATCCAATGTTATGCGCCTACCAACGACTACAATGAAGACGCTAAAGATCAATTCTACAATAGGCTGCAGTGAATCATCGAGAAGTGCCCAACAAAGGACTTGACCATTCTGATGGGAGATTTCAATGCCAAGGTTGGAACGGACAACACTGGATATGAAGACATCATGGGACGACACGGACTGGGAGAAAGGAACAAAAATGGTGAGAGGTTTGCAAACTTATATGCCTTCAATAAACTGGTCATAGGTGGCACCATATTCCCACATAAACGCATACACAAAACCACATGGACTACACCGGATCACTCTACACAAAACCAAATCGATCATATTTGCATCAACAAAACGTTCAGGAGGACTATAGAGGACGTGAGAACCAAGAGAGGAGCTGATATAACATCAGACCATCACTTGCTGATCGCCAAAATGAAATTGAAACTCAAGAAGCACTGGACAACGGGGCAGACATGATCACAAAAGTTCAATATGGCCTTTCTTCAGGATACTAACACACTCAACAAATTCAAGATAGTCCTCAGCAACAAGTTCCAGGCCCTTCATGATCTACTCAATGGAGAAGGAACTACTGTGGAGAGCAACTGGAAGGGGATCAAAGAGGCAATCACTTCAACATGTTATGAGGTCCTGGGTCACAAGAAGCACCATCACAAGGAATGGATCATTGTTGATACACTGGATAAGATTCAAGAAAGGAGGAAAAAGAAGGCAGCAATCAATACCAGTCGAACAAGAGCAGAAAAAGCCAAGGTACAAGCTGAATACACAGAAGTGAACAAACAAGTGAAGAGGAGCATCAGAACCGACAAACGTAAATATGTGGAAGATTTAGCAATGACGGCGGAAAAGGCTGCAAGAGAAGGAAACATGAGACAATTGTATGACATGACAAAAAACTCTGGAAATCGCCGCAAACCAGAACGACCAGTGAAAAGCAAGGAAGGCGAGGTAATCACCAACATTGAAGAGCAACAAAACAGGTAGGTAGAACACTTCAAATAACTCTTGAATCGACCAGCTCCACTGAACCCACCCAACATCGAAGCAGCACCCACAGACCTCCCAATCAATGTTGGCCCACCAACAATTGAAGAAATCAGCATGGCCATCAGACAAATCAAGAGTGGCAAAGCAGCAGGACCAGACAACATTCCAGCAGAGGCACTAAAGGCAGACTAGCGGCAACTGCAAGGATACTGCACATTCTCTTCAATGAGATTTGGGATGAGGAACAAGTACCAAAAGACTGGAAAAAAGGACTCCTGATCAAAATACCGAAGAAGGGCGATCTCAGCAAGTGTGATAACTACAGGGGTATCACTCTTCTCTCAATACCGGGAAAAGTCTTCAACAGGGTATTGTTAAACAGGATGAAGGACTGCGTAGACGCCCAACTTCGTGACCAACAGGCAAGATTCCGTAAGGATAGATCGTGTAAAGACCAAATCGCAACTCTACGGATCATTGTGTAACAATCAATTGAGTGGAATTCATCACTCTACATCAGCTTCATTGACTACGAAAAGGCATTTGATAGCGTGGACAGAACAAAACTATGGAAACTTCTTCGACACTACGGCGTGCCTCAGAAGATAGTCAACATCATACAGAACTCATATGATGGATTACACTGCAAAATCGTGCATGGAGGACAGTTGACAAATTCGTTCGAATTGAAGACCGGTGTTAGGCAAAGTTGCTTACTCTCACCCTTTCTCTTTCTCCTGGCGATCGACTCGATCGTGAAGACGTCAACATCTGAAGGGAAGCACGGGATACAATGGACATCTAGGATGCAGTTGGACGATCTAGACTTCTCAGATGATCTGGCCCTTTTATCTCAAACGCAACAACAAATGCAGGAGAAGACGAACAGTGTGGCAGCAGCCTCAGCAGCAGTAGGTCTGAATATACACAAAGGGAAAAGAAGGATTCTCCGATACAACACAGAATGCACCAATTCAATCGAAATTGACGGAAAAGATTTGGAAGATGTAAAATCCTTTACGTATTTGGACGGCATCATTGATGAACACGGTGGATCTGATGCAGATGTGAAGGCGCGGATCGGCAAAGCAAGAGCAGCATAATTACAACTGAGGAACATCTGGAAATCAAAGCAACTGTCAACCAACACCAAGGTCAGAATTT